TTTAAATAATGGCATAGTAGTTTATAAATGAACCTATTTCTATTGTGATTATTCAAATATTTCATTAAATAGTGGCCCATAATTGTGTAATGTATTGCTTTTAATATCCATTCTCTCTCTCTCTCTCATAAATAAAACTGAAATTTAATTAAATATATTATATCTTAAAGGAGTTGATCCGAAACGACGAAGAGCTGGACTCGAGACGAGTGGTAACTAAAGTGAAAAACACAAACAAGAAGTCAATTATCGCCACAAACAAAAAGTCCAGACACTCTTCAGTGGCCAACAAATCGGGATTAAGTGATGAAAACAATGTCTTATCAGAGATACTAAACACAAGCGTTTCCAGCGATGATCTCAACTCACAAACCAAAGAGATTGAAGACATACTGATCGACAACGAGTACGACTACAACAACAACAGTATCACAAACGCCGGATCCGTCACGTCATCGGCGGTGCGGACAGTGTTTCCCATATTTCAACACATGATTGAATTCAAAGTGTTTAACGACTTAGAGCTGAATCGACTGCTGGAACTGTTCACAGCGACCAACATCTTTGTCACCGGACCTCTCTATCCATGGATTAAGACCGAGATCACCGACATATCCCAATTGTCACCCTATTTGCCCAACTTCTTAATCAATAGTATTAAGACAACCATTCATTTTGCTAAAAATTTGAGCTCATGTCAAGAGTTATACGGAGACGACAAGAAATATCTGGTTAAGTACGGCTACTCTGATGTGAAAACAATGAGATCGTTGTTTTACTATAATTTTGAACAACAGTATTGGACAGTCAATACCGTAAGTCACAGTATAGTTGCCATTGAATAGCATTAATGAGTATTGTCCATGGTGATAATTAGCATCATCAAACGGCGATCATAATGCCGTTGAAGGTGTTTGAAATCCGGGGCGAATACTATCACAGATTGAAGGCATTCTATGACACACTGGACACTGAATGGGATAGGGATCACGTGGTGTTGGATTTGGTACGTAGATTAGATAGATTAGATTTAGATAATCTATTAATCTAAAGCTATTTAATATTATGTATTCAACAATGAATTGAACATGATGATTTTATTTGGTTATAGCTGACTGCAATCGCATTTTTCAATCCCAATCGGCCTAAACTCTACCGCAA